AATCCTGAAAGGACAATAAACATAATTAGGTATTCTAGAATTCTTCAAGTTTGAAAAGATTATTATGAGAAATTGTTGTTTACAAAAGTTAGGGAAAACTGAGAACAAAAAATGAGATTCATCTTCTTAGGCTAATTATATGTAAACAAAATGTGTTAATAAAAGTATTTTTGTATGATTGTATACTTTCAAAGTTAAAAGAAGCCTATCAAAATATTTTGTTTCCAGGATCTTAGATTAAAAAAAATCTTTTTTTTTTCTTTTTGTTCATGAAAAGTCTGAAACAGCACTAGGGGTGCTGACTCTTTGTAAATTTATTACTTATTTCAGACTTCCTTTAGATCCAGTAGCCAAAGTACACTCATCTTTTCTGAGAGCTGTAAGAAATGGTGGTAAAACATGGGAAAACTTCAATTAATTGTTCTAGGGTCTCCACTAAACCTATTGTTCTATAAGTCACATAGCCTTTTCCACCCACACTTCTCAGGTAGTTGCCTAACCTCCTATAAAACACCCTTGTGTCCCTCACATACCACTATCACAACGAATTCAGTTGCGGATTACTTTACAAAAGGTAAGAGTATATATGTATGTGTGTTTATGTAAGTATATATATGTATACATGTATATATTTTGTGTGTGTGTTTTCTATATTTCAATAATGATAAGCTTAAATACTATGCGGTCTTCATCATAATAAAATCCTAATCTTCAAGTATTAATGTATATGTGTGTGTGTGTGTGTGTGTGTGTGTGTGTGTGTATGAAGTGTGATAAGACATAAATTATCCCATGACCTTGGAATGCTTTGAAAACAAAGAGAATCCCTAACCTCCACAGTAACCTGTTAAAATGGACAAGTTAAACACATTTAGATGCTTTATTTACTATTACCTAAGGAAAATGTAATTTAAAAGGTGAATTTTAACCAGAATGCCCTGTGATATGAAACAAAATAGCAGAGATAAACTAACAACAATATGGAACCAACATTAGTGGAGTGATTGTGAAGGGATTACTGAGAATGTTTCTAATGTGCATTTTATGAATCAAGGACATAATCCATGCAAGACTGTAAACATAGGAAATGGACGGAAGCCAAAGCCTTGAGGCTCCTTTGAACATTGCAAAATGGATTTTACACAAACTCTTCTAGTAATAAGCTATGAATATGTTCAGGTTATTTGTCAACTCTTAGGATTGGGCAGACGTTTTTCCTTGCTGGGAAAGTATAGCTCCATATCTCTATCTTCCACAAACTTTAGGAAAATGAAAAAGAATTAATGGAATCCTAAAATTAAAATTAGCAAAGCTCTCAGAAAATTTTGAATTTTGATGGCCTTAATTTTGCTGTTGGTCTCAGTGTCAATAAGATTTACCCTCTCTGAAACCCATGGATTATCTCCTCATGAATTAACAATTTACCCCATCCCTTGCATTTGAAATGTTTACTTTTTAAAAAATGTTTATTTTTTTATTTTGAGAGAGAGAGAGCATGAGAGGGGAGGGGTAGAGAGAGAGAGGGAGAGAGAGAATCCCAAGCAGGCTCCACACTACTAGCACAGAGCCTGACACGGGGCTCAAACTCATGAACCATGAGATCATGCCCTGAGCAGAAATCAAGAGTCAGACGCTTAACTGAGCCACCCAGGCACCCCATTTCTCTTTCCTTTCCTTTCCTTTCCTTTCCTTTCCTTTCCTTTCCTTTCCTTTCCTTTCCTTTCCTTTCCTTTCCTTTCCTTTCCTCTCCTCTCCTTTCCTTTCCTTTCCTCTCCTTTCCTCTCCTCTCCTCTCCTCTCCTCCCCTCCCCTCCCCTCCCCTCCCCTCCCCTCTCCTTTCCTTTTACTGTTTAATTATTTGAGTGAGTGAGCAAGCTGGGGAGGAGCAGAGAGAGAGGGAATTAGAGAATCCCAAGCAGGCCTTGAGCTTTCAGCGCAGAGATCATAACTTGAGCCAAAATCAAGAGTCGACGCTTAACCAACTGAGTCACCCAGGCGCCCTTGAAACATTTACTCCTAATCCTAGATTCTATTTATTACAGACTAATATGAATAAATACTACAAGTGATTTGTGATCCCTCCAGAATTATCACTAGAAAGTTCAAGCTGCATTTTCAAAATACGTACTTTAACAAACCCTTCCTAATTTAAAACCTGGATATTTAGTCATCTGGTAAAGGTATCAGAATACAACCATTCTTGGACATTGATGGAAAGGATCTTATCAGGTATTGTTAACAATGGACATAGCAGCAAAACTCTAAGGTAATGATCTCTCATACATGGTTTTCAGCTAAAAAGATGTACCACTTTATCCCAATTGCTAGACATTTATTCTCAGGAGAATTCAAACTGAGAATTGTTAGGAATTTTTCAGATGCTGATGACTGGAGAAGTGGGCAGCTTTCACCCAAGACAAAGAAACAAGACTGATTTTCTAATTTTTTTTCTAGTTAATTTTCTAAGTTTTCAGATCTAGTACTAATCTTTTCTTCTATGATACAAAATTTTTTAATGTTTATTTATTTTTGAGAGAGACAAAGTGTGAGCAGGGGAGGGGCAGAGAGAGAGGGAGACACAGAATCTGAAGCAGGCTCCAGGCTCTGAGCTGTCAGCACAGTGCCCGAGTTGGAGCTTAACACACAAGCTGTGAGATCATGGCCTGAGCCAAAGTCGGATGCTTAACTGACTGAGCCCCCCAGGTGCCCCTAATCTTGTCTTTTATTGATTGTATTTTGGCATGAACATTACTGAACCAATATTACTGGGGTAATGGCACAGGATTTAAATAAAAACAAAATGATCCATGCATTTCTTTAACTGTTATAAGCAACAAATTACTAATGCCATATCTCATTACACTGAGTTTAAGAATCACTATCTTCAGAACCACAATTTTTCCTAAAAGAAAGACTGTCTGGTCATTGCTATAGATTGAATGTTTGTGGTCACCCACCCCATCCCCCTTCATATGTTGAAATCCTAAACCCAAGGTGATGGTGTTAGGATGAGGCCTCTGGAAGGTGATTAGGACATTATAAAAAAGAGTCCAGGAAGCTCCTTTTTTCTTTCCACCATGTGAGTATGCAATGTGAAGTCAGAGGTCTATGAACCAGAAAGCAGGCTTTTACCAGACAATGAATCTTCTGGCATCTTGACCTTGGATTTCCTAGCCTTTAGAACTATGAGAATGAATTTCTGTTGTTTATAAGCCACCCAGCCTACGGTGTTCTCTTATAGCAGTCTGAATGGACTCATATAGGCATTATTTGTGTATGAAATAAAATTAAGAGTCATTTGAGTAGACTATTATTGGCTCTTCTGCCCATTAAATACTGAGTTTGTTGAACTCATCTATCCATTTATTAATTTAACATTTTCTAAGAGCCAATAATGTGCTAGACACCAGGATATGATGATACAGGTCTATTGCCCTTTAGTTTTGCAGGATGAGGCAAGCAAGGAAACTAACGTGGGCTCTCAAGTAATACTGGGTGCTCTCATACAAGTATGAATAGACACTATGGGAGATTAGAGAGTAGTAAGTGCTTCATTGTGTCTGTTTTTGTGGTGAGATTCACGAATCTACCGCAGGGATGGAACATTTGCAGAATAGACAAAATTTCTCAAATTCATTTGGAAACTCGCTATAGATAGTATAGGAAATAAATCATACACTTCTATATCTCTCTGTAGTGCACATAATAAAAATGGATCCCTTTCAAAGCAGATCAAAGTATTTGGTTATGTCAGTCAAGAAATACCCGCCCCCCCTCCCCTTTCCACTATAGTAAAAGGAATAAAAAAAATTATGGCCCCCACGGAATATGTTCAGTTTAAGGTATACAGGCCACAGTATATTGAATTTATTTCATTGTTTCCAGCACAGCAAGGACACCCTTTAGCCTTCTGAGTGCCAATAAAAAATCAGGTAATCCGAAAGTGTTCTGACAGCTTGGAGTTTGTGTTCTCCTTTTCATTAGCATCTTTGAATAGAGCTATTTAAGGGTACCACTTTGGGCCTGGCAGGAAGAAGGGGCCAGGATGGAAAAAGTCATCATCCAAGGAACTGAAGTGGAAGATCAACATTTATGATATTTTGTTGATTTGCTAGATGCTTTCTTTCATCTTATTCTCATACTAAGTTCTTTTTTCCACTAGCCAATTAATGCTGTAAGAAGGTATGTATCTTGTCCAAGGTCAAGCAGCACGTAACAAATACAGGTACCCGGGATTGGTCTCCTCTGGACTAGTGCCTTACCACTACGTGAATACACTAAAAACAAAAAACAACCCCCAAACCGTACCCCGCCTCCAAAACCTCACCCTTCTAAAGGGGCTTAATCGGATCACTAAGACCTACAGGCCATTTAATGGGTCCCTTTTAGTTGGGAAGGTAATCTTAGCGTTCTGGAAACCTTTTGCCAAGCTCCACTCTCGCCCAAGTAACGGCCCGAGAGCCCTTGGCCGCAGTCAAGGTGGGTGGGCGGTCAACCCAGTGTGTAGTCTGGGGACAGAATTCCCGGGCTTCCTTGCAGGTGCGCGCGCACCTGTCGCTAGTCGCGTGCGCGCTGCGAGGGACGACGGACGAGGTACGTGTCCGCGCGCGTGCGCCCGGCAGTATTCCCCGTACGTGCTCCGTACGTGGGCGCGGTGTCCCTGCGCTCCGAGTTTCGGGCCGGGATTCGGCCCGGTGCCGAGTGGGAGGCTGGGAGGGGCGTGTTCCTGGTCGGTCGTGGCTCCCCCTGGCGGCGACCTGGCTGGAGGCGCGCAGTCAGGCGTTCTCCGCGGGCAGCCGGCGGCGGGGCCTTGCCTTATAGCGCGGGGTCCTCGGCGGCCTGGGTGTCTACTGCCCCTGCTGCTGTCGTAGGCGAGGACGGCTGCTAGTGCGGCTGCTGTTGGTTCGCGGCGGCGGCGGCGGAGGAGGAGGAGGAAGAGGGCGAGGCGACAGGGGAAGAAGGAGGCAGGCGCGGCGGCGGCGGCTTCGCCCGGGGCCGGCGGCGGCGGCGGCGGCGAGGGGGGGGAAGATGGCGGACGTGCTCAGCGTCCTGCGACAGTACAACATCCAGAAGAAGGAGATTGTGGTGAAGGGAGACGAGGTGATCTTCGGCGAGTTCTCTTGGCCCAAGAATGTGAAGACCAACTATGTAGTTTGGGGGTAAGTCTGGCATAGCTGTGGCCTGCGGTTGGCCGGGCAGAGTTGGGCGCCCCCAGGCGACCTCTTTCCTAACCCCTCCCCCCGATTCCCTTTGGGGATGGAGAAAAAACGGGTCTCTGGGTAAAAGTTTTTCTCAAGAAAAGAAGTTACACTTTTAGGTGAGGAGGAAATAGGAGGAGGTGCATCTCCAGTTCTTTAAGTCTTTGGGACGCCAAAGGGGAAGGTACCACAGGAGTTTCTGACTTTCCTAGTTCATTTTTACCGACGTGTGTAGGTGCAGAAAGGGGCGTACCGTCCGGTCCTAGAGACGTCTTTTTGTGTTTAGTTTTTTCTTTCTCTTCGAGGCTACCATGTGTTGTCACTATCCCACCTGCCCCTTGCAGCTCCTGGTCTGTTTCTTTTTCCTTTCGTAATTCCCTGAGGTAGAGAGAAGGGAACTACCTATGTGAGATTAGAACGGGAAAAAGATTTGGTCACTTTGGAAGAGTCCTCAAAACCGTGTTAGAGGTGAAGGCAGGAATTTCTTCAGGGAGAAAGTTATTGGTAAAATGGAGTGAGCTTTACAGATCTAAGTAAGATATTGATGATGGTGTGTGCTTGTAGGAAATGGGTTTTAACAAGAAATATTTGGGAACGTTGATCTACGCGGGGCTTTTTGAATTGAAGGCATTAAGGAAAATATCTAGAGATAGGTCTGATAATGGTTTGGGGCCTTTTTAAAGGTGATATCTCTCTCTTTGGTATTTCATCTGGATGATTAGAACCTTGGGCTAGAACTTCCATACTCATTTTGCTTGATTGAGTGGAAGCACTGGGCTTTGTGAAGAGTTGATGAAAAGCTGGGGAAAATTTAGTTTGTTGGTTTCTAGCTTTTTGGCCCTGAGGACTTATGATTTGATTAGCTTTATGAAATGTTGATGCAATGACATCATTCTGAGTTTCTTGCGTTTTGTCCTGTCAAAAAAAATTTGCACAGACAGAATTACATTTGATTGGAATTTTAACGGATTTATTTTTTTTTCTTTAAAAAATGGTTTAGAAGTACTCAGGATGTAGGGTGGTTCAATTTGAGAAATAGAAAATTCTTAGCACCTTGGTTCCTGACTCAGGGGAGGTTAACTTAATCAGAGTAGGTGAAATAAAACATAACTTGGTAAGAATTGCATTCTGGCTCTTGAGAGTAATCACTTCTAGCTTGGGGTATTAGGAAGGGTTTCATAGAAATATGTTTGGCGTGTAGACAGGGTACAAATTTTCTTGAACAAATGAATGAACAGATGAGTAAGCCTTAAAGAGTGAGTTAGGAACTTTGAGGGTGACATGATGGGTTAGGTCTTAAAGGACGGGGAACTGTATGCTTAAAGCCATGAGAGCTGGAAAGGAAATATTTTGATAGCATTTCAGTGAAGCTAGTAGTGAAAAAGGGGTGCTTAGAATAATTTCAAACTTTAGCAATAGCGAATTACACCACTAAACATATTTTTGTTTTGTTATTCATTTCTTTATGCACATGTACATATGTCCAACTTCGGAACTTTAAGCAATACTTATCCTTATTGCATGTAGTACGTTCTATTACTTTGCTTTTCTGTATTGTTAACAAAAAAAAACCCTGATTACCTGGATATTACGTGTTATTGTACAGTAACTGGTAGTGATGTATGGTTTGAAATAATGTCAATTCATAGGAAAAGTGGAAATGAAGGCTAGAGAAATGTAGATGAGGGCTGACTATATTGCACTGTATTCAGATGAGGTCAAATAATACGCTGACGTTTTTTAGATGGGAATGTAGTAGGAAGAGTGAGATTGGACACAAATACTGTTGAGGCAATAGTATTATGCGGTTTCGTTAAAGAGCTTGCACCTCTAGACTGCATTGGGGCGCCTGGGTGGCCCAGTCGGTAAGGCGTCCGGCTCTTGAGTTGGTTCTGGTCATGATTTCACGGTTCGTGAGTCTGGGCCGCATATTGGGCTATGTACTGACAGCACAGAGTCTGTTTGGGATTCTCTCTCCCTCTCTCCCTCTCTCCCTCTCTCCCTGCCCCCGCTTGTGTTCTCCCTCCCCCTCTTTCTCTCTCAAATAAACATTAAAAAAAAATAAACCTTTATACAGCATTGCTTTACCACAGGTAGAATTGATTATGATTTTTTTTGCATCATTGGTTTAATTTAAGGGATGTCATAAGAATTATACCTCTGAAATTTATTATTGTGTTTGCTGTAAGAATGTTAAGGATGTTCTTTAGCAGTATCTTATTTAGGAGACAAAGAATAAATTTCTAGTAAGTTTAGAGTTGTGCTTCTTCTAATCAGTTTTTCTCTTGTAGATTCTCTCCACTCTGTAACTGACTAGGTTTCTCTCTTTATTGGCAAAGACCAGAATGAAGTTTGTGCCAAATTCTAAAAAGGGTGTAGTACCTTAGAGTATGAATATGGTGTGCTTTCTTTTTTTTTCATTTTCTACCTTTGTGTTCTTTTACTTTAATGATAGTTCCGCTTACTAGATTTCATACTTTATGTGTATTTTTGTTAACCATGTTGAATCCATTCTTGAGTAGCAAAGTGAATATAGATAAATTCATACATACAAGTCTAAGGAGTTGAATTAAAATTGAGTAAAAATCTTAATTATTTCAGGACTGGAAAGGAAGGCCAGCCCAGAGAGTACTACACATTGGATTCTATCTTGTTTCTACTTAATAATGTGCACCTTTCTCATCCTGTTTATGTCCGACGTGCTGCCGTAAGTAAAATTCATTTTAAAACTTTATTTATTTTTTTTTTTTTTGGTTAATAGGTATTATTTGGCATGGATCACTTCCCTCATGGGTTTCAAATCAAAAAAATAAAAGGTTCATCTGTATGAAAGCCTATTGGAAGTTCAAAATTAGATCTTTGCATGTTTTTACAAGAACAGAAGTTTTGAAGATATTTATAGGAATATTAAAAAATATATATATATAAGCCTGTAGAAGGACCCTGATATTCAGAACTCTGATCTCAAGAATACTTTTTTGGGGTGTGCCTGGGTGGCTCAGTTGGTTAAGCGTCTGACTCTTGATTTTGGCTCAGGTCATGATACCACAGTTTGTGAGTTTGAGTTTGTAAGCTGCGCTGACAGCTTAGAGCCTGTTTGGGATTCTCTCTTTCTCTGCTCCTCCCCCATTCATTCTCCCTCTCTCTCTCAAAATAAATAAACTTAAAAAAAACTTTTTTTGGGTATCAGAATCAAGATTAACAGACAACTTTATTATTATTATTAGAGGGAGAGAGTGTGTGTGTGTGTTCACATGAGCAGGGGAAGAGCAGAGAGAGAGAGAGAGAGAGAGAGAGCGCGCGAGTGAGAGAATGAGAATCCCAAGTAGGCTTCACGCTGATGGGGGGCTCAATCTCACAACCATGAGTCACGACCTGAGCCAAAATCAAGTGCCAGAGACCTAACCAAACCCAAGTGCCCCTAACAGACCACTTTAAAATTAATTTTTAATCTGTTTAATAAATCTCTTTTGAACTTTATTGATAAATTCATTTGTTTCCAGTTTTTCTTGCCTTCAGCATCTCAGTATTTGAACTCTGCTTTTCTGAATGGGAAATATTCAGTGTTTAATACATATAGAAAAAAATAATACTAGGGTGAAACTACGTATTGAGATTTGGGAAATAGTGGGATAAAAATAACAGCATCTTTATGAAGTTATGTTACTTCATCTTAAATCTTTAAAATCTGAATTAGGCAGTAATTAGAATGTATTGTTGGCTATATCCATTCATTTTGTGGTAATAAAGATGATCCAGATGCTTGGTTTATATATAGAGATTATGTTCTTGGCAAATAGTTATAACTGTAACTGATGGCTGTAATTGTTACTGTGGACCTTGGGACCCTTGCTCACATAAGATTTAAGTCTTTTGTTTGTCTTAAATACTTGGCAGATTGAAAGGGCAGAATTCTACAGTTCTAGGGTTCTACAAATTTTTTTTCCTCCACTGTGCTACTTGCTTTTTCTTGTGAGCAGACCATGTCTGATGTAAGTTTTCTGGACCCATAGCTCCTATTTTAGTGTGAGTAGACATATCTTTTTCAGTTGGCTGTATTATGTCCATAATTCATTATTAACCAAATAATTAAGTATGTTATCAGACTTAGAAACAGTAACTTAACAAAGTTAATTCAAATCTTTTAGCTATTTATGATACTTCATGTAGACTAGTTTTTAAAAACAAGCACACAAAAACCTGTGGGCTCTTAAATGTTTATACTCCTAGCAGAAATTAAAATTTAGCCTACCCTTTAAAAAAAAGGTTAATTTTAAATGATTAAATATAGTTAAACTCTATCATCAGGGAGTATGTGCAGAATGTTTGAAATGAAATGTAATTAGTATACAATAAAAGATAAATAGCCGAAGTTACTAAGGATTCTGGTTATTTATCATTGTGTATATAAAGTGACAAAAGGATTTTAATTATATAATCTTGCAGCCACCAGGCTTTCTTATACTTAGTTTTTTTTTGTTTTTTTTTTTTAATTTTTTTTTTTAATGTTAGTTATTGTTGAGAGAGCACGAATGGGAGGGACAGAAAGAGAGGGAGTTACAGAATCTGAAGCAGGCTCCAGGCTCTGAGCCGTCAGCACAGAGCTCAACGTGAGCTTGAACCCACGAACCATGAGATCATGACCTGAGCTGAAGCCAGACGCTTAACTGACTGAACCACTCAGGTGCCCCTTAGTTGTTTGTTTACATTATAAAAATGATATTCAAAATTGTGGTAATTACAGGATTCATTGAATTCATGGCCTCAAGATGACCTGGTGACTAAAGCATACAGCTCTATTTGTCAGTACACCTCTTTACAATGACTAATGTAGGAGATTTAAGGAAAATTATCCATTTTACCAAAATAGGTACATTTTCCAGATTTAATTTTTTAGTCTTTTCCCCTTCCTTACAGAATTTGTGTGCATTCAAAGATAAAAAAGAAATATGTAGCATGGAAAGTAAGCAACTGACATTAATGTTTTGCTGTATAATGTCCTAAATTTTTTCCCATGCTTAAACAGTATACCTATTGTTTTGAAAATTTAGTTTTTATGGCTAAGTTAGTGTATTTCAGAATTCAAGTAGAATATTTTGAGAAGTCTGTTTTGTGTTTGAGAAAAGAAAGCACTTTGGAAACATAGCATGTAATGATCAAGCAATGGGACTAAAAAGATAATTACCTCAAATATGCATGCAAAGTATCATGAATAAAATAAAAAAATACTTAAAGTAAGCCAAGGGAACAAAAAAGACTGGAATTGATATTTTGAAGAGGGATTGGCCATTGTTTCTAATGATTATCTTTTAGGTATCTTAATTGAATTTCAAGAATGAAGTTATTAAAAATTAATATCCTTAAAATTTTTGAAGACATGGGTTAGATTTTTTTAGCCTAGTAGTTCTTTAAAGGTAAGATTCTCGGGAAAAGATATTTGCAAATGACATACCGGACAAAGGGCTAGTATCCAAAATCTATAAAGAGCTCACCAAACTCCACACCCGAAAAACAAATAACCCAGTGAAGAAATGGGCAGAAAACATGAATAGACACTTCTCTCAAGAAGACATCCGGATGGCCAACAGGCACATGAAAAGATGTTCAACATCGCTCCTTATCAGGGAAATACAAATCAAAACCACACTCAGATATGACCTCACACCAGTCAGAGTGGCCAAAATGAACAAATCAGGAGACTATAGATGCTGGAGAGGATGTGGAGAAACGGGAACCCTCTTGCACTGTTGGTGGGAATGCAAATTGGTGCAGCTGCTCTGGAAAGCAGTCTGGAGGTTCCTCAGAAGATTAAAAATAGACCTACCTTATGACCCAGCAATAGCACTGCTAGGAATTTACCCAAGGGATACAGGAGTACTGATGCATAGGGGCACTTGTACCCCAATGTTTATAGCAGCACTCTCAACAATAGCCAAATTATGGAAAGAGCCTAAATGTCCATCAACTGATGAATGGATAAAGAAATTGTGGTTTATATACGCAATGGAATACTACATGGCAATGAGAAAAAATGAAATACGGCCTTTTGTAGCAACGTGGATGGAACTGGAGAGTATGATGCTAAGTGAAATAAGCCATACAAAGAAAGACAGATACCATATGGTTTCACTCTTATGTGGATCCTGAGAA